GATTTTTAAGATGTGATATGTGTCTTCCGTGAAATGTTATCTGTTGATACTTAAACTCAAGAGGAGGGCAGTGACAGTTTTATCCCCATTTTATAGATGAAGACAATGAAGCTCAAAATGAGAGTGAAGATGCGGGGCGCCTGGCTGGCTCAGTCGTTAAGCATCTGCCTTCAGCTCAGGTCATGATCTCAGGGTCCTGGGATCAAGTCCCCCATTGGGCTCCCTCTACTTCTGTCCCTCCCCCCTGCTTCTGCGCATGTGTGTGCTATCTCAAATGAATAGATAAATCTTTAAAAAAAAAAAAAAATGGGTGAAGATGCAGCAGGTGAGTCTGGTACGGGCCCCAGATCCCCAACTCCTGGTCAAAGCTCTTTTGCGGGCTGTGTTGCTTCTCCCTCAGGCCCAACTCTGAGGGCAGCCGACAGGGCAGCCGTGCACTGGGCCTGGCTCTTGGTACAAGTGGGGCCGCAGTGAGGACCCCGGAGGGAGGGCAGAGACCACACCAGGGAGCTCCGCAGGGCACAAGGGCAGCGATTTGCCCAGGAGGGGTGTGCTGAGAACTGGAAGGACCAGGTAGCTGCAGGGTGACACTTGTGCCACCTGTGGGCGGCATCCCACGTTCGGTCAGAAGCGGGGCTGGTGGCCTCCCTCTGCGTTTGCTCCCAGGTTTCCCTCGAAAGGTCCGGCAGGGGGTGTCTAGAAACGAGTGCACGGGAGAACGGGCTCTAGGCACCTGCGCTGCACACACCAATAGTCTTGCTTGCTGAGCACAATCTGGATTTTGATGTGCTTAAAAACTCAGAGATGGAGAATGGGAGAGGCAGCAAGCAAATCTTTGGTCAGGCTGTGATGGGCGTGCTGGCAGCTTGAGGGCCAGGCCACCTCACTGCACAGGAGGGACACGTGAACAGACTGGTGTGACAGACACAGCTGTCTGTCAGCAGGCTTTCATTACCTTGGACTCCGGGTCTTGGTTTACCTTCTGACCGGTTTTTCATCCCCTCTGCCACCTCCTGCCCCGTGAGGCTCTGGCTGGATCCGCACTTCCCTGACCCTTGCCTTGAGGCCTCCCCGGCTCCCTGTCCTCCAGTCCCGCAGCCCCTCCTGATGGGCGGAGTCCCTTCCAGGGGGTCGTAATGGCTCCCAGAAGAGATCCCTGGCCTAATTCCTGGAACCTCTGAACGTTAACTTAGGTGGCAGGAGATAGATTTTGCAGCTGCGATCAAGTCAAGGCTCTTGAGATGGGGAGAAGGTTCTGAAGGTCCGGGAGGATGCTAAATCCCATCCCATGGATCTTGTAAGAGGAGCAGAGAGAACTGACACAGAGCAGGGTGCCGACGTGGGCAGAGTGGGGTGACCTGGAGCCCCCAGGAGCTGGAGATTCAGGGAACCTTCCCCTCATGTCTCTACGGGAGTGCGGCCCCCGGGACACCTTGATTTCAGCACCGTGTAATGGATTTTGGTCTTTGGCCTCGACGGCTGTTAGAGAATACATTTTTGTCAATTTAAGCCACCAGCTTTTTAGTGACTTGTTTCTGCAGACACAGAAAATGACTATAAACAGGACAGTCAGGGATTCCAAAACAGAAATGACTGGACATGAGACCTAGTCCAGAGCCTTCAGCTGCTTGATGGTGTCCCTGACTCAGTCACCTGGGGTCACCTCCGCCTGGAACACACACTCTTCACCCTAAGGTTCCCTGTTGCCTTGCTGGCAATGGAGGTGGGCCCCACATCCCGCCGCTTCCTGGGGCCCACGGCACGTGCTCCGCAGGGGGAGCCCGACTTCCAGCCCAGTGGCCTGCAGCCCACGCTGCGGACCCATGAGGAAGCGGTGGTTGGGCCTCACGGGGGATGGCTGGCTTTGACCTGTGGCTCCAAGGTCATCTCCAGACTGGAACACAGCCGGGCCCGCCCCCTGGCACACACCTGCTACCTCCCCCTCCCTGGGAGAGCAACATGCGTGAAGGACATGGGCACTTTGGCCCGGTCATTAGACTTTTTAAAACCAAGTGCACATAGTATCCGGTGCTCTTTTTACAGCAGCAAGAACCTGTGCCTGTTGCGATAGGTGCACGCCAGCCAATCAGGTGTGTGGGAAAGCCACACAGGCCGCACCATTGTTCTCTGTCCCCTAGGTGATGCCCTGGGAAAGGTCACAACTGCCTAAAGCTTTAAAACCCCAGGGGAAAACAAACATTCCCTGTGCTGGGACTCAGCTGCAGCTCTGTACGGTCTGTCATCCGTTTTTTAATTCACTCCCCTTTGCAACTAATTTTTCTTAAAGTAGCAAAAGGAGGCCATTGATACAGATCAGAGAATATCTATTCCTAACTCTTGTAAGAATTCCCATCGTCCTTGTAGAAGCTGACCTTCAGGTGAGTGAGTGGTGCCCCAAGGGCAGTGTGACACAGGGCCCATGGAAAAGGGGTGCCAGGCCTGGAGGCCCCTCAGGTGACTGGCCCCTCGGGAAGAGCTCTTGCCAGTTCAGGCTGGGTGGGTGCCTGGAGCAGGGAGGGCAGTGAGCTGGTGTCCCAGCAACAGAGGGCCAGGGGCCACCTCGGGCTGGTGATTCTCACAGGGGCTGGTCTTCTGGCAGGTGGAGTGAGAAGACCCCAGGGTGCTTCACTTAACTGTCTGGCTCTCCGGACACTGGGGAGAGGGTTGTGAGTCTCAGCCTGGCCTGTTCAGCATAGCCCGCAGAAACAGGATTTACTCAGTTTTGGGCTCCACCAGCCCCACCTGGTTGGACTCTGGGGGAGGAGGAGGCACTGTCCTATTTCCAGACTCACAGGTAAACATCCCTCCTGTTCCAGGATGAGAGGAGCCAGGCTGATGGGGGCACTGCTCACCCTGGCTGGCCTGCTGCGGGTGGCCCTGTTCCTGAAAATAGCAGCCTTCAACATCCGAACTTTTGGGGAGACCAAGATGTCCAATGCCACGCTCTCCCACTACATCGTGCAGGTCAGTCCAGGCCGGCCTGTCCCCGAGGAACCCCGGGGGGGGGAGGCATATAACAGGTTCTGGGAACACTGGGGCAGCAGCCAGTCCTGAGGGCGACCACAGATGGGGGTGTGGAGAGTCTCTGGTGACAGGGAGGACCCCTGTCTGCTGTTCCATCCATGGCTGGCAACAGAATGCCAGGCAGGAGCATCAGGCCAAACCATGACCTGAAGGTGCCCCAGGGAGCAGCTCAGCCCTTGTGGGGACCTGCAGCCGCTGTGCACCCAGGCTGCCCTGCTCAGCACCAACGTGGTCCTGTCCACAGATCCTGAGTCGCTACGACATTGTTGTCATCCAGGAGGTCAGAGACAGCCACCTGACAGCCATGGGGAAGCTGCTGGACATACTCAATCAGTGGGTGATGGCCAGGGGGGCAGGGTGGGCGCTGGGGAGGCACGGGATGGTGATCCTCCCCCCAGGGCATGGTACCATTGCCTGACAGAGCCAGGAGCCCTGCTGTAGGCAGCAGGAGGGTTCCCTGGGGGCCCCCTGACGGGTACGTTCGTTTCCTTGATCCAGGGATGACCCCAACACCTATCAGTTCGTGGTCAGTGAGCCCCTGGGCCGGAACAGCTACAAGGAACAGTACCTCTTCTTGTTCAGGTAAAGCCCCAATGCCAAGAGATGGGGGCCACCCGGGGACACTGAGGGGGACCTCGTGGGCAGTAGTCTGTCCTACGGGGAGGAACTGGAGGCCACAGAGCAGGAGCTGAGAGCCTGGGGCCCTGGTGTGGGCCGCACCCTCAGTCCCAGGCTAAGCCCCTGGCCTTCCCTAGACCCAACCAGGTGTCCGTACTGGACAGCTACCAATATGACGACGGCTGCGAGCCCTGCGGGAATGACACTTTCAGCCGCGAGCCCACCATCGTCCTGTTCCACTCCCCGTTCACCGGTATGCACGCCTTCCTGGGGCCCCTGGAAAGCCCTGGTCCCCCCTAGTGCTTCAGTCTGACGTTGAAGGCACTCAGGAACACACCACCTTGGTACTGGCTCATACCCCCACCCCGGGGCTGAGCAGGACCACCCTCTCCCCAGCGGTCCAGGCCTTTGCCATTATTCCCTTGCATGCGGCCCCCTTGGATGCCGTGGCGGAGATGGACTCGCTCTATGACGTCTACTTGGATGTCCGGCAGAAGTGGGACCTGGAGGTGAGTCCCCCACCCCAGGCTCCGGGGGCATGTGCTGTGTGCCCAGGCCAAGTGGCTGCCGTCTACTTAACTAGGACATCATGCTCATGGGCGACTTCAATGCTGGCTGCAGCTACATGGCCCCCTCCCAGTGGGCCTCCATCCGCCTGCGCACGAACCCGGCCTTCCAGTGGCTGATTCCTGATACCGCAGATACCACGACTACGGCCACACACTGTGCCTACGACAGGTAGGGAGGGGGTCGGCTCTGGGAGTAGCCTCGACTCCTAGGTCTAGCTTCCCAAAACCTGGGTCAGTCACCCTCCTGGGCCCTTCTTGTGTGCGGCAGGATCGTGGTGGCAGGAATGCTGCTCCAGCATGCCATCGTTCCAGACTCGGCCACCCCCTTTGACTTCCAGGCTGCCTACGGCCTGAGCAGCCAGCTGGTAGGTGTCCTCCCTTGTAGGTGTCCTCCCTTATGTGCTTCAGCTTTGCTGGGGCTGGGACCCCAGGACTTCTGGCAGTCTCTGTATCAACCTCTGCCACTGGGACTAGCATGTGGTGTGCGGAGGGGGGGGGTCCGGTCACAAAGTACCATGTGCAGAGTGGGCCGTGCACCCGTCCTCACAGGCCAAGGCTATTAGCGACCATTACCCGGTTGAGGTGATGCTAAAGACGGTTTGATGTGATGGGGGCCCGGGCTGGTGACCTCTACCCGCTCCAGCTTGCCTGTCCTCACGGTAAGCATGGGCGATGAGGTTTTCCTCTGAGCACCCTCCCCCACTGTCCCCCGAAGAAGGAAGTAGACCTGGCACTACCTCTGCTTCCAGCATGAGCAAGGGCCTTGTGGCAACCGAGCTACTCCCTGCCTTTGCAGTCCAGACACAAGTTTACCATTTAGAGTAACAAATGCTTTTAAGCTAAATAAACTCAAAGGGGGTGTTGTCATCGGTGGCACGTAGTCCTTCTTTCTCCCTGGCTGGTCTCAGGCTGCCTCGTCCTTCACCTCCACTTGAGCCCTAGTCCCTGTACGTAGACTGGGGGCCTTCACGCCGGCGGCCCCTCAGCGTCGCTCCAGGGCCTTGACAAGCAGATGGTTCAGGCGGTCCACCATGGGGCGGGGGTCATCGACGAGCCCCGCGGCAATCATGGCGTTCTCATAGATCTGAAAGGGAGGGCTAACCTCATCAGGGGGAGGACAAGGCCCTGCAGAGGGGGAAAAAAGGGGGAGCACTACCTTTTTCTAAATGGGGTATTAGGGGCACCTGGGTGGCTCAGGTCATGATCTCAGGGTCCTAGGATTGAACCCTGCACTGGGCTCCCTGCTCAGCAGGGAATCTGCTTCTCCCTTTCCTGCCGCCCCGCAAAATCTTTCTTTGGAAAAACCAACCAGGATTTTAAAGGTAACCAGAGTGTCCCACTTCAACAGATGATGTGGGCACCGCAGTTCTGCTCTCTGCCCGTCCCCAGGAGACTCACCTGATCAACTAGTAGCTGGGCCAGGTCAGGCTCGCTCGCTCTCAGCTGACTGAGCTTCTTGATCAATGTGTGTCTATAGCACAGAAAACACCAGAAATTAGCTCAAGGGCCTCTGTGTTGATGACTTTTCTGAGTATGGGGTTATCTGAATCCAGTGTAAGAAGTACAATGGGGCGCCTGAGTGGGTCAAGCAACTGCTTTTGGCTCAGGTCATGATCCTGGGGTCCCAGGATCGAGCCCCATGTTGGGCTCCCTGTTCAGTGGGGAGTCTGCTTCTCCCTCTAAATCTTAAAAGAAAAAGCACATAATATCAATTTCAGATAATATACCAAGACGACCAGAACAAATAGATTTGATTAGCAAATGCAGCAGTACCAAAATTAATATATGAAAAAGACATTAGTTGGGTGGCTCAGTTGGTTGGGCGACTGCCTTTGGCTCGGGTCATAATCCTGGATTCCTGGGATCGAGTCCCACATTGGGCTCCCTGCTCAACAGGGAGTCTGCTTCTCCCTTTGACCCTCCCCACTCTCATGTGCTCTCTCTCAAATCTTTAAAAAAAAAAAAAACAGTTGTCAGTGAGAAACCCTACTTAATCCATACATTTTCCTTTTTTTAAAGATTTTATCTATTTATTTGACAGAGACACAGCGACAGAGGGATCACAAGCAGGGGGAGAGGCAGAGCAGGGAGCCCGATGCGGGGCTCGATGCGAGGCATCATGACCTGAGCCGAAGGCAGACGCTTAACGACTGAGCCACCCAGGTGCCCCCATACATTTTCCTTTTTTAAAAAAGTCTTTATTAAATTCAAGAAAATCTTTTTTAAAATATAAACATGGAGGAAGTGTATCATAAGGCTCCAGTAATTGGACTGCTGGCTCTGAAAAGCCAACATCTGGGGCCCCATGTTGGGTGTAGAGCTTACTCTGAAAATGTAACATTAAAACAAAAAGCCGATAGCATTTTGGGGTGCCTCAGTCAGTTAATTAAGAGTCTGCCTTCAGCTGGAGTCCTGGGATTAAACCCTGTGTCAGGCTCCCTGTTCAGCAGGGAATCTGCTTCTCACTCTCTCTTGAATGAATAAAAAGAGACCGCCTAAGTGTACGTGAGGGAGGGTAACTGGCCAATCACTCAGAATGCTACTGGATTCCTTAGATCAAAAGAAATACATTTAGAGTAAAACAATTTTAGAAGGACTTTTGAAGCAAAATACAGAGAGATCAAAAAGGAGAGAGCTTTGGGCGCCTGGATGGTTAAGCGACTGCCTTCAGCTCAGGTCATGATCCTGGAGTCCCGGGATCGAGTCCTACATCAGGCTCCCTGCTCAGATTCTCCATCCCTCTGCCCCTACCTCCAACCCTCTGCCCCCTCTCTGTAAAATAAGTCTTATAAAATTACTACTGTATACAAAATCACTCCAAAAAATCTTCATATACAATTCCAAGTTAGAAAATGGAATTTCAAAATATCCAATAAATAAGGTACATCATAAGGAATGTGCAATACCTCTACAGTTACCAAAAAATAAGACCTAAATGGAGAAATCTGGCATGTTCATGGATGAAAGATTGGACATAAAGATGCCAGTTCATTCAAAATTGACTTGGGAGCTGTATAATCTCAACCACAAGCCCAACTGGGGGGGGGGGGGCGGACACCTGTCAGGTCACCTCGTCCAAGCACAGACCTACAGGAGGGAAGATATCCTTGAAGGGAAATAAGGGGGGGACTCACTGAATACAGACCGTGCACTGTGGCCACCTGATGCTGGACAGAGACGTCAAGCCGATCAGCAGGGAGGACATACGTGAGCAATCATGGCACAGGGCAAGTGGGTGTTCATGTGGAGTGAGATACAATAACTCTCCCACATCCCAAACCAATTAGAGATGGACTAAAACCTTAAAGCTTTTAGACAGAAAGAATACATTCAAGACTCTGGGGGCGCCTGGGTAGCTCAGTCGTTAAGCGTCTGCTTTCAGCTCAGGTCATGATCTCAGGGTCCTGGGATCGAGCCCCGCACTGGGCTCCCTGCTGGTGTTCCCTCTCTCGCTGTGTCTCTCTCTGTCAAATAAATAAATCTCTGGGAAAAAAAAAAAGATTTCTCCAACAAGACCTAGAACAGCAGTGAACACAGACTTCCAGCGTTGGGAGGGGACGGGTGCAGTGGGCGAAGGGGTTGAGGGGCTCAAACTTCAGTTGTAAAGTCAGTCATAGGATGAGAAGTACAGCAGACAACCATCGGTAACAGCACGGTGACGGGGTAAGGGACTTCTCGTGGTGAGCCCGTTGTAATGTCCATAAACGTCAACATCACTGTGTTGTACGCCTGAAACTAACACCATATGTCAACTAGACTTCGACCAAAGTAATGAGTTTTTAAAAATTATGATTTCATTAAAATTAAGAACTTCTCAGAACACATCTTTAGGCAGATGAAACGACATTGGAAGGAGACACTGGCAACCGAGAAAGCGTACATTAACTACGAAACAGAACAGGAAAAAGGACAGTCTTGGGCGTGTCATGAGAACGCCAAGCTGAAGGACAGCGCGCGCAGGCCCCGGGGCCGCCCGTGCCAGCAATGTGCGGGCAGTGGCGTCTCCTCGACCCACGGAGGGCACCTGGGCAGGTGAGCCTCAGGCACCCCAGAGACATGTGCGGGGTTCAGAGCAACCCGTTCCCAGCAGCCCCCAAATGAGAACAACTCACAATTCCACCAAGAAAGACTAAATCGCTGCGCTGAGGCAGACTCCGACCTGTCACTCCGCCCCGGACACGACCGCACCCCCGGCCGCCCTCCCCGGGCACCACCTGTCGCCGAGTGAAGGAAACATGACTTCCGAAGCACGTGCCCAGGGACTCCACCGACAGGCCACTCAGACCTGTCTCCAGGATGCACGGCGGATGGTCGGACTAGAGCACGGGGAGGAACTCTCAGTCTCTACAGCAAGAGCTGTGTGGCCGCTGAGGAGGAACAGGCCCCCACCGGGCCACTTGCGGTGTTCTAGAACCTCCCGCAGGGGGGTGGAGGAGGGAGTGTAAACTGAAATGCAGTTGGATCACACAGGTGGTGTCTTTATGGTCACCAAACTGCACGTAAGCCTTTTGCCCTTCGTAGCTGTCAGAGACAAAGCAGCACACACACAACTGTGGATTACCGGGCAGGGGAGAATCGTGCCCTGGGCCAGAGGGGCCGGGAGCCTACCTGGGGTTGATCTCCAGCGTGGGCTGCAGGAGCTGAGCGCGCTCCTCCTGGGTCTTGGCCAGCTGCTGCATGCGCAGGAAGTGCCGGGCGGCCCCCATCTCCAGCACGGTGATCATGGCAGGGTGGGTGTCCAGTCGAAGAGTAACCTACAAGTAAGGCCAGGGACCCGGTGAGGGAGGAGCCAGAGGTGGGGCGGGGGGGCAGGGCCAGGCTGCAGGGTCTTGACCAGGTCGGAAGCTTCTCCAGGTGACACAAAAGAATTCAGGTCTCTGGGGACACCCTCCCCCCAGCCCCCCGCCCCGATGCACTACTGAGAAGGGAGCCCGAGCTACTGCCACACGAAGTTCCCGGGACAGAATCCTGACTGGGGACTCCCTCCTCCCGTGTCCCTCCCAGCTACCGGTTTCTCACAAATCAGTGGCTGTCCCAGGACCGTCCTGCCTGGTTACCCATGCCTCTCGGCTGCACGGGGGCCATCACCGAGTCCTACGACTATCTAGGACCCTGGAGGCCCACCCATCCCGATGGCCCAGGCCTCCTTCCTGCAGACAACGCTCTCACCACCCCTCCACCCCTGCCCACGGCTCCCAGGGGCCTTAGGTCATCCGGGCGCGCCTCCTCCCCCCAAGCGTTCATGCCCCCGGTGCTGTGTGCGCACATGTAGGAGCGGCAGCAACATGCCCGTCTCCACCCCAGGTCACGGCCTCGAGCGCCACCGGAGACACACACGAAGCCAGCCACTCAGCCCACAGCAGCGGGGTCACAGAGGGCCATGGCAGCTGGGAGGTGGCCCGTCCCTCTGGAAGGCCTCACCTTCACGTTGGTGACACGGGACCCCAGCACATTTCTGATCCAAGCCATCAGGTCCTCCGTCTCCTTCTCCGACAGGCGGTCACCAGCTACAGGAGAGAAGGCAGTGAGCTCTGAGCTGTTACCGGCGACTCCACCCCCGGGGATCCCGCCGGGGCCTGAAACGCTAAAGCCCCAAGAGAGGGTTTTAAGAAGGCTCCCTCCACCCCCTGGCTGGCCGCCAGCACAAAGAAGCTTCCCAAAAGGCTCTTCACCTAAAAGCAAGCAGGTAAAACTGGACCTCAAAAAGGGCATTTTGGGGGTGCCCGGCTGGCTGAGCCGGTAGAGCATGTGACTCTTGCTCTCAGGGTCACAAATTCAAGCCCCACAGTGGATGTGGAGCCTACTTTTAAAAAAGGACACTTTTGGTTGCCTGAGGCCCATATTAATTTTATAGGGGTTTTAAAAAGACAATTTCTAATTCTCTCAGGAAGCCAAGCTGGAAGGAGCTTAGGAGAGGTCCCGGGATCTAAACAAAGATGTTCCTGACAGCTTCTTTTGTGCAGGGTGGGGACCCCAGATACAAACAAGCAAAGAAGACCCCATATAAATAGCCCCCGGGGCCTGCCTCCCCACACCCCCAGGCCACCGCTCAGGCCTGGGCCCAACAGAAGGCAAGCTGACCTGGGGACCCATCCTCCAACTTCTCTTCCTTATAGTGGTCAACAACAATGTCCGTCTCCACAGAGATCAGCTTCTTCTTGTCAAACTCACGAAGGTGGAGCAAGGTCAGCTCATCAAACTGCTCGTAGCAGAAGAGAACCTGCGAGAGCCGGAGAATGTCAGCGTCGGGCCTCGAGATGTCTGCCCGTGACAGGAAGAGAGGGGCGCGTGAGGGGCAGGCGGGGTCCCATGTCCGGAAAGGCCACACCAGAGACCCTGGGGCCTCACCACAGTCCTGAGCGGGGCCCGGGCTATGTGTCCCGGGCCCATTCAGCCACTGTCCACTAAGTAGAGAGCCTCCTTCAGGGGCTCAGACACCGGTTACTCTGTCCCGGCCCCAGCCTGCGGTTCACCCACCTCCGTGTTTTTCTGCTTCATGGCTTCGTAGTAGGGCGAATGCTCGGCCAGGTGCCGGCTGGGGGCACACAGGTAGTAGATGGTGCGGGTGCCGGCCTGCATGCGGCTCGCATAGTCCGGGAGGCTGGTCAGCTGCCCAGCAGGCAAGGCCGAGGACTCGTACCGCAGCAGCTTTGCGATACCCTCCTGCGGACAAAGGCCAGCTCACTCATTCCAGGTCCTGTTCTGAAAGCCTCCCACCCGCCTGGCACAGACCTCGGAAGCCTGTGGCTATGGGGAGGAAGGGTTCTGGCCGGCCTCATCCCGGGCTGCCAGGCCCAGGGATGGTGCTCAGCCGCGGGGGGGGGGGCAGCAGCGGTTGTGGGGACTCTGGTGGTATCCATCAGGTCCCACATCAAAAGTTCAGGGGACCCTGGAGAGAACCTTCACCCCAGGTGGTCCAGGGCCCTGTGGAGAAGGGCTTCTGGTCCTGTCCTAGGAGTGGCCAGACACTGTCCATGGCAGAGACTTTCCTGGACCCAGCATCCTCCATCCATTCTAGTCACTGACCCTGCCTCTTGGGCACGTGGACGCGGTGTGGAGGCCACATTCCCAGACTTCCCACAGCATGAACTAGGCCGTGGTGGGGTACAAACAACAGTGGGCATGCACTGAAAGGGGGGGGGGTTCCGTCCTCTTCCTTCCTGTCAACTGAAGTCAACTCACCTGGTGATGTCCTAGCCTCTCAACGTGGGAGCTACCTGACAACAAGCTGGGGCCTGGGTCCCTGATGCCACCAGCCCAGATGTGACTTGAGAACTAAACTCTGCCTAGTCTATACCACTGACTTCTCGTGGATTATCCAACACAGACATGCGGGGAGAGGGGAACACGGGGAAGACTGGAGCCTGTTCAGAGGCGATGTCCGACGAAATGGCATGATGGAGATGAAAATGCCACCTAGGTGCTGTTAACCATAAACACATAACTGACAGCACATGGAAATTCAGACAGGCCCACACCAGGAGCTGGAGGAGTCTGCCACCAGCCAGCAGCAAGGAGGGCCCAAGGCCCATGGCCTGAAACACCCCCTGGCGAACCCCAGACGCTTGGTCACTTCCTTCATCACTGCTGTTCTGGTGCAGAAGATGAAATCCCAGCCCTGGGAGTGCCTGCTTAATGGGCATGGGTGTCTTTTTGGGGGGAAGAGAATGTTCTGGAAATGGATGGTCATGGTTGCACAACTTGTAAATGCATGAAGGGCCACTGAACTGTTCACTTTTTAAAAGGGTGAATTTTGGGGAGCGTGGGTGGCTCAGTCAAGTGTCTGCCTTTGGCTCAGGTCATGATCCCGGGGTCCTGGGATTGAGCCCCACGTTGGGCTCCCTACTCAGTGGGGAGTCTGCTTCTCCCTCTGCCTATAAAATCGTCAAAAAAAATAAATAAAAGGGTGAATTTTATTGTATGTGAATTATATGACAATTTAAAACTGGCCAAAAAATGTTTATGGGATGATCGTATCATTTTTAAGTAATTAAACTGAACTCTGGCCCCAGAAACACCGCATTAAAGGATTTTCACCAATCACTGTGAAAATGCCCTGATTGCCCTTCCCACCCTAAGAACCAGGCACCTTGCCCTGTCCCCTGCCTTTTGTGATCTCCTGAGCACCCTGAACTTTTTTTTTTTTTTAAAGATTTTATTTATTTACTTGACAGAGACAGATACAGCGAGAGAGGGAACACAAGCAGGGGGAGTGGGAGAGGGAGAAGCAGGCTTCCCGCTGAGCAGGGAGCCCGATGCGGGGCTCGATTCCAGGACTCTGGGATCATGACCTGAGCCGAAGGCAGACGCTTAACGACTGAGCCACCCAGGCGCCCCCGAGCACCCTGAACTCTTGTGGGAGACCATACACACCCACTTCCTTCCAGCATCAGGCCAAGAGCTTAGTGCTATGGGACACGGTAAGGAGGCTCTGGGAAGTGGCGCCAGGCCTGTTGTGTCCCCCAACAGAGGCCCTGAAGCCAAACGCTGCTTTTACTGACCCCTGCGCGGCGCCAGGCTGGGCCACACTCATGTCCCGGGAAGCTCAGGTTTCAGGCCTCCACAGCCCATGGCGACCCAGAGAAAGGCCCAGAAACCCAGACCCTACCTTGACTTCCTGCTCGGCGGTGGCCACAATGCCCTCCCTCATGAACAAGCCATAATCTTCAAAAAACTTGGCATATTTTTCGGCGTCTTTTTTACTCTGGTCAATGAAGAATTTTATTAGCCTCTGCTGTAGAAGGTCCCGGAGTTTCCTGCAGAACAGAAATGCATTTATCCCAAACAACTTCTGTGAAATACAAAAGGTCAAAGGGCATGAAAAACATTCACTCCCGCTAATAATCAGAGAAGTGAAAATGACACCATTTTGATAAGACGAAAAAACATGAGGCAAAAACAAAGGGGACCCCTGACAAACCCCAGCTGGGGAGACACGCCCCCGAGAGGAAGGAATGCGAACCAAGCCCCTGTGGAGGCCACAGCCTCGGTTCCCACTGCAGATCACACCTGAGACCAGAGTCAGCAAGCTTTACGGACCGGCCTTCCGCGGGGGCGCATAGCCCGGGTGCTGACCGGGGAAGACCAGGCTGAAGGAACCTAACAAGCTGCCTGGCCAAACATCTCATCCTCTAGTGGCTCTGAAGGACGTGAGACAGTGCCCGTGCTGCTAGAAACAGCAGATAACGGACACGGACACGGACGGACTGCAGGGTGTGGTGCGCGTGCGCCAAGACCGTCCCCACCGCCTCCTGTGCGCTGCAGTGTCCCTGTCGGGATCCACACTGCCCCCCTCCGGCCGGGGTGTGCGCTGTAGCCGGGGCTGACGCGCACACGCTACAGGCACAATCAACTGTACAAAACTCGGACTTTGGGGGATCAGGGTGCTCACTGTGGCATTATGTAATGGCATAAAACTACGAGCAGCTTCATTAGGGCTATCAAGGGTATTCTTACTTCCTAATATTTTGCCTTTTCTTTTACAAAAGCAAAATTACCGTGTGGTTCTGTAATAACGCAGGGTAGGGGGGCAACAGTCTCACGTTACCCCTAAGCCTTCCCTCTTGGCTCCCATCCCCAACCCCAGTCCCTCAGTCCGAGGGCGGGATGGGACGGATGGGACATCGAGCCCCCGGAGGGTGACCACACAGCCCGATGTGGAAGCTCAGGGCCCAGGAGGTGCGGGGCGCACCAGCGTGAGGGGAGGGCAATGGCCACGGCAAGCTGATTACATGGCAGGTGACTGGTCAACGCTCCACAGGTTAGGGATGACGAGAGGCAGATGGTTCACGGTCAAAGGGAGCAGCACACACGGCAAGGGCAAGACCAGGAAGTCCCAGTGGTGTCGGGAGGTCACTGGTGAACTCGCCAGACACAAACAAGTACTGCTGTAGAGGCACACACATCCACACACGCAGACCTCGTGTGTTCCTTAGCTGACTACTAAGGGGGCCTGGGAGAAAGGACACCCTAACAGCAATGCCATCCCTAGGGCCCAGATCTTGGCTTCTCGATACCATGTTCCAATCAAAGGAAACAGGGCACCTTCACGGAGTAAGTGGTTCTGGGGTCAGGACAAGATGTAGGCAAAATACAAGGAGAGATTAGAACATCTTGTGCTGAAAGCAAGGATGCTGAAAGCAAGGTGGGGGCATAGTCAAAGGGCCCAGGAGCCAGTCCGGGTGGGCTCTTTCCTGCTGACGACGTGTGGGCATCGAGATGCACGAGGACAGGAACACATCAGAACCCACTGAACAAAATGGAAAATCAGTTCCTACAAATAAACTTTAGGTATTTAAAAATGAACACATACTATAATAAATACACTGAAAGTCTGATGAAGCGGGGCACCCGGGTGGCTCAGTCGGTTAAATGTCAGCCTTCAGCTCAGGTCATGATCTCAGGGTCCTGGGATCGAGCCCTGCATCAGGCTCCCTGCTCAGCAGGGAGTCTGCTTCTCCCTCTCCCTCTGCTGCTCCCCCTGCTTGCACGCACTCCCTATCTCTCAAATAAAATCTTAAAAAGAAAAGTTGGATGAAGCAAGATGCTGTTCACACAGCTGCAAAACACCACCCCCACGTACGGTGGATTAATGCCAAAGGGGAAAAGAGTAACTCGACATGGAGATGCCTGGCAGACACCCCCTTTGTCATGTGCCATGTGAACATCCCCAGTAACGGGATGACAACTCCAAAGTCAGGCCCCTCATGCCAGGCTGCAGTCACTGTGCAGTGCCTGCCCCTAAGCACACGGATTCAAATCCAGGTGCACCCACTGACTGGCGTCACCGGTCTAACTTTCTGCAACCATGACCTGGTGGCGCCCCCTCAAAAACACGGGCTGCCCAGGAAAGGCCCCGGGTGGTCCCAGGTGTGCGTTAGCGCTCAGCAAAGAGTAGCTATTGCTACAGTCAGGGTGGGGAGCTGAGAAATGCAGCCACTTCAGCCCACAGGGATTCCAGAGAGACTTCCCGAAGAGACGGTCACCTTCACACCATTAGTGACCTTTGTGGACCAAGGTCAGATCCCTCCTGCGACCGTCATCCTTCGCCTCCTCCACCTCAGAGGCAGCAGGCCTGGAGTCTGCCCCAGCATGGCCAAGGTGAGCGCTGCGGGGGCCGCCTCGTGTGCAGCTTACCTGATGAGCGCGCTCTCCTGGAGGAGCTCCCGGCTGAGGTTCAGGGGGATGTCCTCACTGTCCACCACGCCTGAGTGAGACACAGGCCGTCAGGACCCTTGCAGCACCCGCGGCTCTGCCCCGCCCTCACTGCACACCCGTCCGCCTCCCCGCCTGACACCAAGTGAGACCACGCCTGGGTGACAGCAAACTGGCGAAGGACACGGGAGATGCAGTGAGGCAACACCTTCTGGCCCCTCCAGGTCCCACTGACACCCCAGAGCTGACGCACACAGTCCCGGTCACAACAATGCAAGCAGAAGAAAAGCCGGCAAGGCCGAGGAGCTCTGCCGGGGAGAGCTGCTGACTTTAGCCTCAGCTTGACGCTCTGAAACCACGTCCTGGATTTTATGTTCAGAATCACAACTATATTGTGGACACCTCACACTTTGTAGGCTAAGGTGACACAATGGTTTAGGTGCTGGATACTTTTTAAAGCTATAATCTCGCTCAAATTCAAGACAATTCATATGTAAACCTGAAACTCACATAATATAAACAAACATTTTAAAAGAATTCCATTTAGGGGCACCTGGGTGGCTCAGTCGTTAAGCGTCTGCCTTCGGCTCAGGTCATGATCCCGGGGTCCTGGGATCGAGCCCCGCATCGGGCTCCCTGCTCGGCGGGAAACCTGCTTCTCCCTCTCCCACTCCCCCTGCTGTGTTCCCTCTCTCGGTCTCTAATAAAAAAAAAATTCCATTTTAACACCCTGTCACCCTGGCCCTGCACCAAGACGAGGTGGCCGGAGGCGGGAAGCTCCCTGGGCGGCGCTGAGCAGCTTCCTGTGACTGCTCACCCCGACCAGGCACCCACGGCACACGAATGCCTTCTCCCAGAGTCGGCACCCCCGCCTCACCCCGGGAGCCGCGCAGTCCCGGGGCTGCAGGGCCGCGGCCCACACGGCGAAGCGCCGGCATCAGTGCCTTACCGCGAACGAAGCGCAGCCACTTGGGCAGGATGTCGGTGGCCTTGGTCTGGATGAGGACCTTGCGGCTGTACAGCGCGATGCTGGAGCCCAACTCCCGGCTCACATCAAACATGGATGGTTTCTGGGGACAAGGAGACAGCAGTGTTGAGGAGCTCTGAGGACAACTCTGAGAACCACCCTTTCCTATGGAGGCCAGCGCTGGGGAGCGGTGGGGGGCGTGTGGGGACCCAGAGGAAGAGAGAGGCCAGGAGGCCACCCTCTGTCTGTTGAGAAGCCCTACACGTTCTCGGCAGGGGGAGCAGGGCGTGGGCCTTCCCTGGGCAGCTGCGGCCCCCCAACTTGTTCCCCCTGGAGAACATAAACGACTACCTGCACGTCCCTGTGAACAGAGCCAAACCCACCAGGGGTCAGGGGTCAGCAACTAACAGCCCACAAGCCAAATCACCTGGCTGGTATAGCCCCAGAACAGCTTGTCCACTTTCATTTTTATTTCCTTTTTTTTTAAGATTTTATTTATTTGACAGAGAGAGAGAGAGCACGCATGCGCGCCAAGTGAGCACAAGCAGGGAGAGCGGCAGAGGGAGAGTGAGAAGCAGGCTCCCTGCCAGGCTCCCCGCCAAGCAGGGAGCCCGATGCGGGGCTTGATCCCAGGACCCTGCGATCATGACCTGAGCCGAAGGCAGACGCTTAACCAGCTGAGACACCCAGGCGCCCTGTATTTTTTTTTTCCATGTATTTATTTATTTGAGGAGGGAGGAGCAAAGAGAGAGGGAGACAGAGAATCTGAAACAGATTCTCTGCTGAGCACAAAGCCCGACTCGGGGCTCGATCCCAGGACCCTGAGATCATGACCTGAGCCGAAACCAAGAGTTGGATGCTTAACCGACTAAGCCACCCAGGCGCCCCACAACTTGTACACTTTTATTTTTTAACTTATACACTTTTAAATGGCTGTGAAAGAAAGCAAACAAAGAAGGTCTCATGATATGTGAAAAATATGTGAAATCCACACTGCAGGGTCTATGAAGTTTCCTAGAACACAGCCGGGCTCATCTGCAGCTTATGGGTGTCCACGCTACGGGGGCAGAGCTCCAGGATGTGCACGGCCCGTGTAACCCAAACTAGTCCCAACCATGCCCCAACTCCTGCTCTAAACCTGCAGCATGCACACACATCACACTGGGATCCTGGGGCCACTGAGATCCTGCATCCCTAACAAGTCCCAGGACACGCTGGTACTGGTCTGTGGAACTCACTCAGTAGTGAGGGTCTCATGCTGCTTCCCAAAATGGGTAGCCATGGGGTGTTACAAGGGCGCCAGTCAGAAAAGGCCAGGAACCTTTTCCAACCCCTGAGCAGGTTTCCCCTTCACAGGATTCATCAGAACCTTCGCCATGCTGCTGTGAGCACGGGGTCTTAGGGGCCAAGCACAAGTACGGAGTGCCCACCAACTCATCAGAGCACCACGGAGCCCCAATTAGCTGCACAACTCAGGCGTGCCCCCGCATGCAGACAAAGGCCGCCCTCACGCTGCTCTGAGGGACCCCCCATGGGTCTACAACAGCCCAAGCCCACACGACCAAATGTTTCTGTTCTTCCCCAAGATGGCACGTGAAACACCCCCACCCCCCACTTTAAAACCCTGTGCTCACCTAACCGGAGGCATGAATTTTGCTTTTACTCTGATGCTACCAAGTTAATTTTTGTGATGTCTGTGCTGATCTGTCACCATTCAAGGCAAGTGCTACTGGCACTGGGAAATGCTGTCGCCATGGGGGAGGCCCCCATCCCAGGGAGCAGCAGACAAGCACTGGCAGCCCCTGCCCCACGCCCGCCAGGCCTCACCGTGTCCGGCACATAAAAGATGCTACGGATGTTAAGAGGTGCGTCCGTCCTGTAGTGCAGGGTGTAGCGGGGCTTGTCGTGGGCCTGAGCGACATAGCGGTAGAATTCCTCGTGCTGCCACTCACCCACATCCTTGGGGTCCATCATCCAGACAGCCTGAAAATGGAGATACATGAGGCCACGGTGTCTAAGACGTGCCCTCCCAACAACCGTGCAGAGCTGGGCCTCTGGAGCCTGTGGCCCCGGGCGCTGGCAAGTGCGCCCCCAGGATGACCCAAGGACCCACCCATGGGACAGACTGGGGCTGTGGGCTCAGGTGCAAGCCTCCGTCCCCATCTCCAGCCCCACCCACTCCAGTGTGGGGAGGAGGGGGGGAACCACAAAGACACACAAGAGGCTCTAGAACAAGGGCCCCCCCTCCCAGTACAGGGCGTCAGGAAAGGCCAGCCCAGAGGTCTGCACATGCCTGCAGGACATCACCAGGGCATCAATGAGTGAAGGGACAAAGAAACATGGTCTAACCGCGGACTGTGACTCAGCCGTAAAAAGGAACGGAGGACTGACGCGGGCTCCAACATGGATGAACCCTGGAACCGTTAGGGTGAGAAGCCAGACACAAAGGCCACAGTGTCTGATTCCACTGACATGACATGTCGGGGGTGATGGGAAGGGAGATGGGGAGTGACTACTAACACAGGCAGGTTCCTTTTTGGGATGAGAATGTTCTAGAACAGACTGTGGCTCTGTGAACACATGAAGGACGCTGAACTGCACATGGTGCATGGGGACAGGACACAGAGTGGTGGAGACCTGGCCTTGCACAGGGAACCCCCCACGCCGGGACTCGGACAGCGCCACCCAGCCCTGACTCTGTCCGTCCAGCGCTGGAATGTACCAAACGCTCCCCATAGCCACCCGAGCCCTTCAGGCAGCTGAGGGTCTCACCTGCAAGGTATTAATGCGCCTTCCATTAAGGTACAAGGGGAAGCTGACGAAGTTACTGTACTTTGTCACCACATCTTGAAAAGAGAAAAAACACATAGCAACAATGAATACAGGAAGCTTCTTCTGGATACAAAAGCTCTGGAAGCAGCTGCAGGTAACAGCACACCAGGACGACTCTGGGCCAGCACTTTCACAGGTGCGAAGCCAGGCCATGTCAGGGACAACGTCCTGTCCACAGAGTGACCAGAACTCATACGAGAACCAGGGATCTGAGGCCCAGGCCACCACGAACCCCCACACCTTCTTGGTGGCATTAATATAGTTTTGTGGGTTAATGGTGAATCCTGGAAGCACTCGGCACCTCAGAGAAGCATCCAGTCAGACCCAGATGAGACCACCGCATGGAAGCGCCCGCTCTTGTTCTCTGTGAAGCAGGCGCAGACCAGGCTTCGGGAAGCATCTTACGACACAGGGGGGGCCAGGGAACGCACCGCGTGCAAGCACTGAGGGTGGAAGACAGAACCAAACCGGACAGTGCCCCAGCAGGCCTGGGCTCCCAGTGCCACACAGAGCCCGCAGCCCCAGGCGACCAACACAAGCAGCGCCCTAACCACTGAGCTGCCCCAGTGCCGCCACGCACCCATCCCCCGCAGCCCAGGCTCCCGCTCACCTCGGACCCGGGCCTCGCTGGCGAACTCTCTGCTGTCTGACTTGAGGTGGATGATGATTTTGGTCCCAGTTCTCACTCCCGAGGCTTCAGCCATTTCAAACACCCCGGAGCTAAGACATGGGAGAGGGAAAGCCAGCTACACACAGCGAAGCTGACGAGTCCTACGCTGCCCGTCCAGTCACCCTTCCTAGGACTGTCGCAAGCAGAGCCCACATCCACACGCAGAGACACAACCCTGAGCGCCACCACTTCGGAGCCCGGCAAGCCCCCAGCTGTTATCTCCACCAGGGAGTGCGGCCACAGGGTTGCGGGATGGGGCTCCCCCATGACAAGCGCCACCTCGTGGGCTCTAGGGTCACCCAAAGTGGCCGCAATGCCGTAAGGCACTGGGCAGAAAGAGCAGATGCACAGGGACCGCCCCTAGCTCGAGCTACCCCCCATGTTTCTGAACCTCTAGCAGAGGCCAGGCAGAGAAACCGTTTCTGAAGTACAAGAGGGGAAGATGCACCCCTGAAAGTGCCTTGTCAAACCCTGGCCTGTTTCCTCTGAGCACCACCTTCTCAGCATTAAACAGAAATCGCAGTTCTGACCGAGGAAAACGGGCTGGGGTCTGGCAGAACCCCTCTCGCGTGCACCGCTGAATCGCCACAGCAGACGGGAGACTCCATCAGGAAAGGATTCGGAAATGAAGGTTTGGGCCTACTGAAGTACATGCTTCAATTTGGCCACAGTACCATTCTTCTTAAACAGAGTCTCAAGATTCTCCCGGAACATCCGCCCAACGAGCCTGTGAGCCACGGTCCCTGAGCAGGCTGCACGGCAAACAAGCATCTTTAATAGGCAACGCCTCGGGCCTGACCTGGCAGGGGAGGGGCGGGCAGGCCCATGAGCCAAACCCAGGAACTCCCGCAAAACAGAATCCAGAGAGGCCGCCCCGGAGCAGGGGATGCCTGGTGCCCGGCCGATCCAACGGCCAGCCATTCCCAAAGGAGCCCCGCCTGGCACAGGCCACGCTCCAGAGCACAAACCTAAGGCGCACGCAGCATGCGCCATCTGGAGGGGAAAGCGTCACCGGCTCCCCAAAGAGTGAGGTGACTCTAACTTTCCAAGTGAAGTGCTAACACCTCAGCTGACTCTGGCAGTGCACATCAGGTACGCTTGGCTGTGGTGGCCCCAGGGCACTCGCTGTGTGAGACGTGAGGCCCGCTCTCACTTACTCACCCATCTGAGAGCCACTGGTAACCAGGGCTGCCCGGGTCCGCTGAGCGGGAATAGACCTCCACTCTGTCAGCCACCATGAAAGCGGAGTAGAAACCCACTCCAAACTGGCCGATGATCTTGCTGCTGGCCTCCACCTGGCTCTGCAGCGCATCCAGAAAGGCCTGTGGTGGTGAAGGCTGGTCAGAAGAAGGGCGGCCCCTTCCCCAGGCAGAACGGACGTCTGTGACTCCATGTGTCCGTTCCCCTAGCACTGGTGGGGATCACCCTTCATCCTCAAGACAACCACATTAAGTGGTTTTTCACCACACGGTCCAGCCTGGAAACTAAGACGGGCGGGCCACACTTCCCAGGCGCGGGGGGCAGCGATCTGAGCGGGCAGGGCACAGAAAGAGTGACCCCCAGAGTTTTCCTAAATGTGTCTTCTGCGTGTCTCCTAGATTCTAAGCTTCAGGGGGAAATGGTATATACCACATTCAGGTTTGATATGGTATCAGAAGACACTTAATTTTTATAACTCAAGTTTATCGCAGTTTCTAAGATTAAAAATGAAGTAAAAGGCACCCACTCACTGCTATGGCACCATCTATGATGACGAAGTGTTCTACATGTGGCCCGATATGGTGGCTGTGGGCCACACTGGGCTCTCAAGCACTCAAGTGAGGCTAGTGTGCCCCGGGAACCAAGTTTTAAATTCCATTTAACTTAAGTGCAAACAGGCATGTGTAGCTAGTGGCCACTGTATGTGACGGCACAGACTCTCCTTGACAGAAATAGAACCAAGAATATAATGGGGGGAGGAACTGGTAGAATTTCTGCAAGTCACTTTGGACCAAGAATTACACTATTTCCAGCACTTTCATCATTGCGTGGTACCATTTTAGGCACCACTTAGGCCCACAAAACCAAGGAGAGGCACACAGGCAGCTGAGGGCCACCAGCCTCCAACTCGCTGCTGGCAGAGGTCCCAGGATCGCCTGCCCCCCCGAGGGTCACACGGCAGCCATGACCCCCAGGGCGTTTCCTCCCCACAGAGCTGCCCATCCACAGACGTGGCCTATTCTCATGAATGGTGCTGAGCTGAGGATGGAGAGGAAGAACGACTCTCTCTGCGAGGCCCCCTCAGCCTCAAGCAATCGCTGAGAGAGGGAGAAGTGTAGAGGCAGAATGGTGCATTCCAGACTCTGACGGATGGGCTTGGAGCCTGGGGTTGGCCGATTTCTAGCTACAAAGTACTAATTTCCACCTCTTCATCTATAAGAAAGAGAAACCACCTGAGAGGTGCCCGGGAGGGGCAAAGCGCTCCCACAGCGCCAACAGAGCTGGCACCCGAGAACACTCCTGCTGTCGCTGGTGCCTGGAGCCCTCTGGGTCCCACCCTCTCTGGTTGGGCGGCCTCGAGAACCAATCCTCGAGCCCTAAGGGGGGCAACAGCTGCAGCCCCCGAGGAAGGGGCAGTGGGGTGGGAGCTTACCTTTGACCCCGACCTGGCGATGGTTCCCAGGTTGGACACCAGCTCTTCCTGTGTCATCCCGATACCCGTGTCCTGAGGAGAGAGGCATGCTAAGCTCCAAGGCCAGCACGCGGGAGCTGGGATGGACTTGGGCGGACAGCCAGGGGCAGGGGGGGAGGGGGGGGCCAAGGGTCATCAATTACACATGCCAGGCAGGACCTAGGGAAGTCACAGCACACGTCATCACGGGGACCAGTTCTAGTCCGGGGGGCTGGGCCGCACCAGAACAAACCCCCCTAGCAGAGAGACCCAGAGCCAAGAGACAGAAGAGTCCAGAAACAGCTGTGCAGACTGTGTCCCTTGATTTCTGACAAAGATTCTGAGAGAACTCAACAGGGGACAGGAAAGCAGATGGTGCTGAAACTGCACCCAACCTCCACCCCCCTCACACCAGGCTCCCAACAGATCAGACACAGAGGACCAGCGAAGACTGCACAATTTCTACACGAAAACACAGGGGAAAATCTGACTGTGGAAGAGGCAGTGGTTTCTTACATTACTAAAAGCATGAAACACAGAAAGAAAAAGTGATAAACTAGACCTCATTACAATTAAAACCTTTTGCTTTTCAAAAACCACCAAGAGGGGCGCCTGGGTGGCTCAGTTGGTTAAGCGACCGCCTTCGGCTCAGGTCATGATCCTGGAGTCCCGGGATTGAGTCCCACATTGGGCTCCCTGCTCAGCAGAGAGTCTGCTTCTCCCTCTCCCGCTCCCCCCTCTTGTGCTCTCTCTCAAAATAAAAATAAATAAAATCTTTAAAAAAAAAAAAAAAAAACCACCAAGAAAATAAAAAAGCAAACCAACACTGGGAAAAAAATATTTGCAAAGTATGTATCTGAGGGGCACCTGGGTGGCTCAGTCGTTAAGCGTCTGCCTTTGGCTCGGGTCATGGTCTCAGGGTCCTGGGATTGAGCCCCACATCGGGCTCCTGGCTCAGCGGGAAGCCTGCTTCTCCCTCTCCCATTCCCCCTGCTTGTGTTCCCTCTCTCACTATGTGTCTCCGTCAAATAAATAAATAAAATCTTTAAAAAAAAAAAAAAAGTATGTATCTGATATGCAACTTATATCCAGAATATATAAAGAAGTCTTACAACTCAATTAAAAAAACAGGGCGCCTGGGTGGCTCAGTCGGTTAAGCGGCTGCCTTCGACTCAGGTCATGATCCCGGGGTCCTGGGATCGAGTCCCGCATCGGGCTCCCTGCTCGGCGGGGAGTCTGCTTCTCCCTCTCCCTCTGCCTGCCTCTGCCCCTGCTTGTGCTTGTGCTGTCTCTGTGTCAAATAAAAATAAATAAAATCTAAAAAAAAAACCAAAAACAAACAACTTGATTAAAAATGAACCAAAAATCTGGACATTTCACAAGGAAGATACAGAAATGGCAAACACATGACAAGATGCTCAGGACCGACCATTAATCACGAGGGAAATGCACAATAAAAGCTCAGTCCCAGGGGCGCCTGGGTGGCTCAGATGGTTAAGTGTCTGCCTTCGGCTCAGGTCATGATCCCAGGGTCCTGGGATCGAGCCCCACGTTGGGTTCCCTGCTTCTCCCTCCGCTCCCAGTCATGCTTGCTCTCTCTTGCTCCCTCTCTCTAATGCTCTCTCTCAAATAAACAAAAAGCTGAGCCGCTGGAACGGCCCGCATCTCCACAGCCGACAGTAACCAGTGCCGGCAAGGACAGCAGCAGTGATGACTTCCCAGCCGCCGCCGCCGCCAGCAAGCAAGCCGGGACACCCACTGCGGGCAGCCTGGCATCTCTCACGGCTACACAGCTCTCCTGGGGCCAGCGGCCCCACTCCTAGGCATTCACCCAAGAGCTTTATTCCGAACACCCCAAACTGGAAACAAGCCGAAGCGCATCCCGTGGCGAGTGGCCGCCGAGCGCTCTGCACGCGTGCGGCAGAACACTTCTCCGGGAGGAAACGGAACAGGCTACACCTACACGCTGCGCCGGGGATGAATCTCACAGCATTCCGCTGATGGCAAGAAGTCAGACCAAACTCTGGTTCTATGGAATTCTAGAAAATATAAACCCGAAGGGGCAGAGAGCACGTGAGTGGTTGATGAGCTGGGAAGGCAGTGGGGACCTGGGGGGAGGAAATCATGATGGCATCGCGGTCACCAGAATGTGTGCACTCGAACCTGTGGAATTTTACTGTGTATAAATCTTACCTCAGTAAAGCTTCTTAAAACAACAGCAAAAAAGGCGCACACACGCAGACCAGAAGGAGCAAGCAACGGCCTAAGAGCCCCCCCACCAGCACCAACCCCTTGGTGGAGGCAGGAAGCCCAGGACCCCACAGCATGTCCTTCCACCTTGCAGGCGCCGCACCCCCCCAGTTCTAGCCATCACCCCAGGACCCTGAAGCAGCTGTCTCAGCAACACGGTATCCCTCAACCACTGCTGATGAGCCCCCCACTTCTGCCTTTCTTTCTGACCTTAATATTTTTAAGAGGTTACAACAGCCCTAAGTATTGCTTCCTCTAAAGCAAGACCATTAATCCAAACACCGGGCTGTGATTTACAATAGTACCGCAGGGTATTTAATGACACGGGGAAATATGCATAATGAGAGGAAAAGTACAGTTAAAAATGTAGAGAGAGAACACTAAAAATAACACATGGTTTAACAACATTTAGATATGTAAATAAATGCACAGACACCAAAAACCTACACTAACACAGTAACAGTCATCAGCCTCAAATGAAACCTTAAACTTGCTTCTTTTCTGTGTGTGTTTTCCAAATTTTCTATACTGAACAAGCGTTATTTTTACAGTAAATTAAAACAAGAGTCAACAACGAAGACAGACGGCGCGTCACTTGGAGCCCGGAGATGGAATGAAAAGGCGGGTCCAGCTCCCCTGCCCAGGCGTGAAGAGGGCGGCGCCAGCAGCAGGACCCTCAGAAGGGGGTACCTGGATGGTGATGGTGCCTTTCTCGGCGTCCGTCTGTAAGTGGATCTCCATTTCCGGCAGCGTTTGGCCTTCAGACAGCAGCTTGTGACGCAGCTTTTCCAAGGCGTCACTGGCGTTGGAGACCAGCTCCCGTATAAACACCTACGGGAGCAGAAAGAAGATGCTAGCGCCGCAGGCCGTCCTGGTCAGCAGCACCTGCAGCGTGTGTCCAAAGTTGGGGGAGAACTACCAGAGAATAGTCGGTGTTTTAACCATAAAGACCTCCCACTTTTCTCAGAGACAGTTTCTCCAGGGCCGCTTCCAAAATGACTCAAGGCCCAGGGCTTCTCCCTCCCTGACACAGCTTTAAGGAGTGAACTCCAACCATGCTGCTCTGTCCTGAAAATCAAGCAGGTGCCAATCTGTTATGTCAGCTCAAACTTGAAGAGCCCCGTGCCACCACTTCTTGCCCGACTCTTGACCAAGGATGTCAAAATATCTCCCGACACCTGTTTCTTCTACGCCTTAAAGACTCTGGCTTTAGTGAAGGCCTACCACGCTCAGAGTACCTGGCTCTGAGAAGCACCTTTGCCTCAAAGAGACCTTCCTCCTGTAGGTGAGGGAGGAAGCACGGTGATGTGAACCCAAGAGCACAGAAGCTGGAGATCACAGGGATACTTGAACATGGCGTGCAGCAGCACAAGCCTGGAAAGTATTTCCTAAAAAGTCCCTTTTAACATTGGAATTTTGTGCTTTACCCTTCCCCAAAATTCCCCTCTGCATTCTAGCAATAACGAACATGGACACAACAGACCATTTGTTCTCGACTTCTCCCACAGCCTGTCGCTCCTCACTGCCTTTCAGCCCCTACTCTCTCCACATGGGGCTGGGGGGCCTTCCTCCCATAGCCCCGCCGTCCATCTAGTGGTCACCTGGTGACCACCCGCCAGGTGACACGGTAACACAGGGCCTCAGAGCATACTGCCTCCGCCAAAGAAATGAGCCCCAGGGCCCCCACGCCAGTACCTGGGGGTGGGGAGGCTTCTAAACTATCAGCAAAAAATAACTCCCGGAGTCAATCTAGCACTAAGAGTCATCTGGGCCTATCTGTCCAGGAAATCCAAATAGATTTTAGTAAAAATACTCTTGCTGGTAACTAAGATCCAGACCTGTCCAAATTTAATGCATTTTCACAGTTATTACACTACCTGGCATTTCCCTAGAGTAGCATAAAAATCGTTTTTTCAAAAAGAAACGCCACTAGCACTGGGAGTGATGAACAGATACCGCACCTCTTTTTCTGAGTACAAGGAACGGGCAACAATGTCCAGAAGCTTCTTTGTCTCAGCCTGGAACTCGTGTTTGGAAATGGAACCTGGTAATGAATCAGACACAAACAATAAAGTTCAGCTTTTATTTTTATGGTATAATATGCTATGTAACATTCAAAAGAATGTTTCAGGTAATGAATTTTAAACATTTTTCAAAAGACTGAACAAAAGGGGCGCCTGGCTGGCTGAGTCAGTGGAGCATGCAACTCTTGATCTTGGGTTGTGAGTTCAATCCCTCGCTGGGTGTAGAGTTTACTTAAAAATAAAATCTTAGGGGCACCTGGGTGGCTCAGTTGGTTAAGCGACTGCCTTCGGCTCAGGTCATGATCCTGGAGTCCCTGGATCGAG